GAGAGAGAGAGAGAGAGAGAGAGAGAGAGAGAGAGAGAGAGAGAGAGAGAGAGAGAGAGAGAGAGTAGAGAGAGAGAGACGAGAGAGAGTAGAGAGAGAGAGAGAGAGAGAGAGAGAGAGAGAGAGAGAGAGAGAGAGAGAGAGAGAGAGAGAGAGAGAGAGAGCACGAGAGAGAGAGAGAAAGATAGAGCGAGATTAAGTGTTTAAGTAGGTAGATCGATTTAGTTTTCACGTTAGCCGAATTTCAGGCGGGGTTCGGGGCAGTGTTGCCAACGCGTTGGACACTAAAGAACGTGTGATGTGCAGTTAAATATTGTTTAAAATCTTCTCAGATAGTTTTGCGAATACTTTGTTAGCGCAAAATCAATTGGCGCAGTAATGTATCAAACTTGCTTTGTATTTATGTTGTTATGTTGCATTGTTTTACCCGACATAAGCTGCCTTGCGATCGCTGCGACGAGATTCGAATGCATAATGAACAATGCATAAAAGCGAACAATGCGAATGAAACAATCAGTGCATACAGTCATACACAACATGCACACAGTAACAAGTCATGTAAACTCATTTAGTTGCGCGATCGTCGCTTCGACCTAAGCGCCTTCTGCGACTGCCTGCGACTGGCCGCGACTGGTCGCAGGCAGTCGTTGTCACTTGTCAGTCGCGTCGCAGTCGAGCTAAAGCCGGGCTTATGTCGGGTTGCGATTGCTTGCGACGCGACGCGACGCACTGCAATTCACTGCGTCAGTATGTGTCGTGACACATCATTATAGTGTCACGGAGTTGGCGTGGTGAGATTCATTTCTGCATCATGGTGACAGCTAATATATGGAATATATGGAATAATATATGGAATATGGATAATATAATAGAAATATCGTTCTTTTATATTGCTGAAACGGAGATGGGGGATACACTACTAAGTATGAAATAAACGAGTGTAAAGCAAAGCGGCAGAGGCATGCGATTAGTGTTACGGAGCTTTCTGTGGTTGTTCAAAAATAGAATTGCTGAGAGGGAGAGGCGAGACGTCGATATTATTACGTATAAAAGACGTAACTGCAATGCGAAGCAGCAGAGGCCCGCCACTAGTGATACGGAGCTGGCGTTGTGAGATTCATTTCTGCATGATGGCGACAGCTAATGGTTCACTGTGCAACATCTCCGGGTCCGTGTCCGAGAATGGAAGCTTGGTCGGCTGCATGGAGTCGGATATTGAGCAGGCAACGGTTGAATCGATTCAGGCGTGGTTCGCTTACCTGGTGATTCCTGTCAACATGATCACCATACTTGCTAATCTTCTCGTCATCTTGGCTGTGACACGGACATCACACTTGCAGGAGCCGGCACACAAGCTGATCGCAAACTTGGCTGTCGCTGATTTCATCATGGGCGTCCGAGGAGTCTTCATTTTTCCAATTACCTTTCTAATCGAATTCCCGCCAAAGATAATATGCCTTGGACATGGCGCTGTCGTTACGCTCTCGGCACTCGCATCAATGAACTTTCTGATTGTCATCAACGTAGACAGGTACATTGCAATATCGCGACCGCTACACTACTACCAGATCGTCACACCGCGCGTTATCCTAGTAATGGCAGTCCTCGCTTGGAGCTTTGCCTTCTTCGCAAGCGTGATGACTTTTATTGGCAACCGCTGGCAGCCGGATCTACCATGCATCTTTGACATCATATCGAGTAGAATATCTGTCATCTTAATCTCGGTAATTGTCTTGACGTTGGGCGCCGCCATCGTCTCCATCTACGCTTACATGATGATGATTGCCAAGCACCACCAGCGGCAGATCCACCAGGAACCGATCAGCAGCGGTTTGCAGGAGGCAGTAGCGACCGGAAAATCCTTCTCTGCTGAGCTCGCCAAGCATCTGAAGCTTGCCAAGACGTTTGGCATCGTCGTCGGCGCCTTCGTCGTCTGCTGGACTCCGTACCTCTTCCTGACGCTGCTGAGCGTCGCCGACGTCTACCACGACACTTTCGGCGTGGCGACAGGCTTCGGCTTTCTGATGGCAGACTCCAACTTTTTCATAAACTTTTTCATATATGCTTTAAAGAGCAGTCAGTTCCGCGCCGCCTTCCGGGCGGTGTTGCCCTCGCGTGGACACTAAAGACGTGTCTACTGTCCAACCTTACTGGAATCATCGCGACTGTTTCATCCGTTCGATTAAGTGTTTAAGCAGGTAGATCGATTTAGGTTTCACGTTAGCTGAGTTTTGGGCGGAGTTCGGGGCAGTGTTGCCAACGCGTTGGACACTAAAGAACGTATGATGTGCCGTTAAATATGGTTTAAACTCGTCTCAGTGAGTTTTGCGAATACTTCTATATCGGAAAATATCTATATCGCATAGCTTGCCACCGAGTTTCATATTAGTGAAGACTATTACCAAGATTCATGCTTTCTCGTGGCGGAGGGTTGACAGCTGGGGACAGTCTAAGCTGTGCACGCGCCAACTGCTAATGTCCCTTTCATTGGATGTGGCAATGTGGCTAGTAGCTTCACACGATACGTTCTCGTAAGTATGTACAACAATACTCCGCATCACGCTATCACGCTAGTTACACAATTCAGGAAATGGACAAAACGTTCCAATAGAAATTCTGACAGTTAAGCAATATAATAGCACGGCATTTATTTATGTAACTTGTATCGAGATAATACTGAAAGGAAAATGAGAATCGGAATTGCAATTATTGGGAGAGAGCGAGAGGAGGAAGAGAGAGAGAGAGGGGGGGGGAGAAAGAAAGAAGGGAGACACTATTACCTATAATATACGTCAATATTATTTAAATCGTCAGTGTGTGTCGTGACACATCATTATAGTGTCACGGAGTTGGCGTGGTGAGATTCATTTCTGCATCATGGTGACAGCTAATGGAAATATTGTTCATGTATAGAATTGCTGAGAGGGAGAGGGGGAGCCACTACTGGGTATGAAATAAATGAGTGTAACGCAAAGTGGCAGCTGCACGCTATTAGTGTTACGGAGCTTTCTGTGGATGTGGCAATGTGTCTAGTAGCCTCACATGGTATGCCCACGTATATGTACAACAATACCCCGCATCACGCTAGATCAACGCTTCAGGAAAAAGAACGACGCGTTTCTACTGAAAATTCACTAGCTAATATAAATATAGCTATATAAATATATATATAAATATAGCTAATATAGGTAAGCGACGTAATATTTGGACAATGAATTATGTGGCACAGTATCGTGATGATACTGCGAGTAAACTGGAGTTCAGAAACAGAATTGCTTGGAGGAAGGGGCAGAGATATGTTTTAGTATAAAAACACATAAATGTAATGCGAAGCGACAGAGGTACGCCATTAGTGTTACGGAGCTGGCGTGGTGAGATTTATTTTTGCATCATGGCGACAGCTAATGGTTCACTGTGCAACATTTCCGGGTACGTGTCCAAGAATGGGAGCATGGTCGGCTGCATGGAGTCGGATATTGATCAGGCAACGGTTGAATCGATTCAGGCGTGGATCGCTTACCTGCTGATTCCTCTCAACATGATCAGCATACTTGCTAATCTTCTCGTCATCTTGGCTGTGACACGGACATCACACCTGCAGGAGCCAGCACACAAGCTGATCGCGAATTTGGCTGTTGCTGATTTTCTCATGGGCGTGCAAGGAATCTTCGTAGAATCAACGACCTTTCTAATCGAATTCCCGCCAAAGATCATATGCCTTGGACACGTCAGTTTGGTTACGCTCTGGGCCCTTGCATCAACAAACTCTCTCATTGTCATCAACATAGACAGGTTCATTGCAATATCGCGACCGCTACACTACTACCAGATCGTCACACCGCGCGTTATCTTAGTAATGGTAGTCCTCGCTTGGAGCTTTGCCTTCTTCGCAAGCGTGATGACTCTCATTGGCAACCGCTGGCAGCCGGATCAACCATGCATGTATGACACCGTCACGAGTAGAACATCTCTCATCTGTAGCTCGCTAGTCATTGGTACGTGTGGCGTCGCCATCATCTCCATCTACGCTTACATGATGATGATTGCCAAGCCCCACCAACAGCAGATCCAGCAGGAACCGAGCAGCAGCGGTTCGCAGGAGGCAGTAGCGACCGGAAAATCCTTCTCTGTTGAGCTCGCCAAGCATCTGAAGCTTGCCAAGACGTTTGGTATCGTCGTCGGCGCTGTCTTCGTTTGCTGGGTTCCGTATATCATCATGATGCTGCTGAGCATTGCCGACGTCTACCACGACACGGTCGGCGTGGCGCGAGGCCTCGGATACTTGCTGGCGTACTCAAACTCTTGCATGAACTTCTTCATATATGCTGCGAAGAGCAGTCAGTTCCGCGTCGTCTTCCGGGCGGTGTTGTCTTCGCGTGGACACTAGAGACGTCCCTACTGTCCAACCTTATTGGAATCATCGTGATTGTTTCATCCGTTCGCATAAGTGTTTAAGCAGGTAGATTGATTTAGCTTTTACGTTAGCTGAGTTTCGGGCGGGGTTCGGGGCAGTGTTACCCACGCGCTGGTTACTAAAGAACGCCCCTTCACCCGTCTATCGTTCCACGTGTTTCACCATCTCACAGTGTTTCTCACATTCTTCGTTAGACCGAAATCGCGTTCACGTAAGTAAGCAAGAGAATGATTAATTAAGTGTTTGGCTTTGCTGATTGGATACAAGTAACAATATGCTCTGACTACAGCGTACACTAGTAGAGTACATTGATGCTACAAACTCGCGAGTTCATTCTGTCATATTAATATTTATATTAATATATAATGATATATTTTTCAGATTCTCCTAGGAAAGTATCGGTGGAAAGTATCAGTGGAAAGTATCGATGGAAAGTATCGATGGAAAGTATCGGTGGATAGTATCGGTGGAAAGTATCGCTGCATGGATGTTTACTTCTGGACGTGTTTTTGTGTGAATATCGCGCAAAAAATTATTCGCTGTGCCCTTGTAAATTTGTTGTACGTGGGCTTGTTTCCCTGTTTCGTAAGTATCGGTGGAAAGTATCGGTGGAAAGTATCGGTGAACGTTTGCTTCTGGACGTGTTTTTATGTGAATATCGCGCTAAATTAATATTATTCAATGTGGCCTTGTAAATTTGTTGTACGTGGGGTTGTTTCCCTGTTTCGTATGTATTGGTGAAAAATATCGGTGGAAAATATCGGTGGAAAGTATAGGTGGATAGTATCGGTGGAAACTATCGGCAGACATTTACTTCTGGACGCATTCTTATATGAATCTCGTGCTAAATACTATTCGCTGTGGCCTTGTAAATTTGTTGTACGTGGAGTTGTTTCCCTGTTTCGTAAGTATCGGTGGAAAGTATCGGTGGAAAGTATCAGTAAACGTTTGCTTCGGGACGTGTTTTTGTGTGAATATCGCGCTAAATATATATTATTCGCTGTGGCCTTGTAAATTTGTTGTATGTGGGATTGTTTCCCTGTTTCGTAAGTATCGGTGGAAAGTATCGGTGGAAAATATCGGTGGAAAGTATAGGTGGATAGTATCGGTGGAAACTATCGGCAGACATTTTCTTCTGGATGCATTCTTATGTGAATCTCGTGCTAAATACTATTCGCTGTGGCCTTGTAAATTTGTTGTACGTGAAGTTGTTTTCCTGTTTCGTAAGTATTGGTGGAAAGTATTGGTGGAAAATATCGGTGGAAAGTACTGGTGGAAAGTATTGGTGGAAAGTATCGGTAGAGGTTTACTTCTGGACGCGTTCTTGTGGGAATCTCGTGCTAAATACTATTCGCTGTGCCCTTGTAAATTTGTTGTATGTGGGATTGTTTCCCTGTTTCGTAAGTATTGGTGAAAAGTATCGGTAGAAAGTATCGGTAATAATTATCGGTGGAAAATATCGGTGGGTAGTATCGCTGGAAAGTATATAGGCGGACATTTAATTTTTTGACGCGTTTTCTCGCCAGATTTTGCTTCTTCGGAAGGAAAGCGTTTTCCTGTGTCGTCGTCGGTGTCGTGTGTGAATTTTAATTATGCGTAAAGCCGGCAGTAGGTCGGGTTGCGATTGAATGCGACAAGACGCAACGAATTGCATCTCACAGCGACAGTGAGTC